GACTAGCTTATTTGACCCATCAGAGAAAGGGATGAGTAGTGTTAGTATACAGTATATACAGTTGTGTTCAAAAGTTTGCATACCCTTGGAGAACTGGTAATATACAGTATGTACCATTTTTAAAGAAAACCTGAGTGAGCTGGCAAAACACTTTTTTTTTTCTTTTTTTCTTTTTTCTTATGCGATTCATATTCAACTGTAGGTGACGGCAAACAAAACAAAACATGGCAACATGTAAACAAATTAAATGACCCCCTGTTCAAAAGTCTGCATACCCTTCGTTCCTACTACTGTGTATTATCCCTTTTTAGCATCAATGATAGCATATAGTTGTAATAGTTATCTATAAGGCTCCAAATTTTTGCAGGTGGTGTAGCTGCCCATTCGTTTTGGTAAAATGCTTCCAGGTCATGCAAAGTCTTTGGTCGTCTTGCATGAACCGCATGTTTGAGATCTCCCCAATGTGGATTGATGATATTAAGGTCAAGAAACTGTGATGGCCACTCCAGAACTTTCACCTTTTTCTTCTGTAACCACTGAAGGGTCAACTTGGCCTTGTGCTTGGGGTCATTATCGTGCTAGAAGAATGCAAATTGTCTGCCAGTATTTTCTGATAAACATCAGGGTGGATTTGATTTAAATCATGATTTAAATCACTAGTGAAAAGGCTTGATTTAAATCATAATTTTTAAAGAGCAACTGTCATCTCTCTCCCGGTTTTGCTCCTCCTATGACCTGCTGCTGACTCACCACCGACGGTCCCATTCACTTTAATGGGATGGCTGGTGATGCAGCAGCAGTGACACAACAAGGTGAGGGACGTGATGGATCTAAAATTACAGGTGCTCTTTAAATGTAAAGAATCCGACTCATTCTTGCTAGTAGTTAGAATCTTTAATATTTGCAAACCAAATGAAGGTTTCCTTTTTAGAAGTTCATGTTATCTCAGCTTGCAGAGCTTGGATTCATTAAATGAGTTTACCGAAAACGTAAATATTGCAGAATATACAGCCTCATGCTACATAAGTAAACTCCATTTCATGCTGAATAAACTAAATTATTAACCACTTGCCCTCTAGAGGATTTACCCCCCTTAATGACCAGGCCTCTTTTTGTTACTCGGCGCTGCACTAATTCAACTGATAATTGCGCAGTCATGCAATGCTGTACCCAAACAAAATTTACGTCCTTTTTTTCACACAAATAAAAGCCTTTTTCGGTGGTATTTGATCACTTGTGCGCTTTTTATTTTTCACGCTATAAACAAAAAAAGACTGAAAATTTTGAAGAAAAATTATATTTTTTACTTTCGGCTATAAAAAATATATAGTAAACTCAAAGTTAGTTATAAATTTAGGCCAAAATGTATTCTGCTACATGTTTTTGGTAAAAAAATCCCAATAAGTGTATATTGATTGCTTTGTGTGAAAGTTATAGTCTACAAACTATGGTATAGATACTGCAATTTACGCCATTTTTTTGCTATACAGTGCTGCACTAGTTTAACGGACAGTTGCGCGGTCATGCAATGCGGTACATAACTGAAATTTATGTTCTTTTTTTTCACACAAATAGAGCTTTCTTTCGGTGGTATTTGATCACCTGTGTGCTTTTTATTGTTGGCGCTATAAACAAAGATTTCTCATTTCTGTCATACATATCCAAAAAAACTAAAATTTTGTCATAAATTTAGGCCAAAATGTATTCTGCTACATGTTTTTGGTTAAAAAAAAAATCCCAATAAGTGTATATTTATTGCTTTTTGTGAAAGTTATAGCGTTGGCAAACCATGGTATACATAATAGAATTTACACAGCTTTTACTTTCTGACTGCCCATCACATTTCTTGAGGTGCTAAAATACCAGGATAGTACAAACATCCCCAAATGACCCCTTTTTCGGAAAGTAGACACCCTAAGCCAGTGGTTCTCAACCTTTCTAATGTCGCGACCCCTTAATACAGTTCCTCATGTTGTGGTGACCCCCAACCATAAAATTATTTTCGTTGCTACCTCATAACTGTAATTTTGCAGTGGGAGGACTAGTGCCCCATCATTGATGTCAGTGGGATGAATAGTGTCCCATCGTTGGTATCAGTGGGATGAATAGTGCCCATCGTTGGTGTCAGTGGGAGAAATAGTGTCCCATCGTTGGTGTCAGTGGGAGGAATAGTGCCCCATCGTTGGTGTCAGTGGGAGGAATAGTGCCCCATCATTGGTATCAGTGGGAGGAATAGTGTCCCATCATTGGCATTAGTGGGAGGAATAGTGTCCCATCATTGGTATCAGTGGGAGGAATAGTGCCCCATCATTGGTATCAGTGGGAGGAATAGTGCCCCATCATTGGTATCAGTGGGAGGAATAGTGCCCCATCATTGGTGTCAATGGAAGGAATAGTGCCCCATCATTGGTGTCAGTGGGAGGAATAGTGCCCCATCATTGGTATCAGTGGGAGGAATAGTGCCCCATCATTGGTGTCAGTGGAAGGAATAGTGCCCTATCATTGGTGTCAGTGGGAGGAATAGTGTCCCATCGTTGGTGTCAGTGGGAGGAATAGTGCCCCATCGTTGGTGTCAGTGGGAGGAATAGTGCCCCATCATTGGTATCAGTGGGAGGAATAGTGCCCCATCATTGGCATTAGTGGGAGGAATAGTGTCGCATCATTGGTATCAGTGGGAGGAATAGTGCCCCATCATTGGTATCAGTGGGAGGAATAGTGCCCCATCATTGGTATCAGTGGGAGGAATAGTGCCCCATCATTGGTGTCAGTGGAAGGAATAGTGCCCCATCATTGGTGTCAGTGGGAGGAATAGTGCTCCATCATTGGTGTCAGTGGGAGGAATAGTGCTCCATCATTGGTGTCAGTGGGAGGAATAGTGCCCCATCATTGGTGTCAGTGGGAGGAATAGTGCCCATCATTGGTGTCAGTGGGAGGAATAGTGCCCCATCATTGGGTGTCAGTGGGAGGAATAGTGCCCCATAGTGTACAATCATTGGTGTCAGTGGGAGGAATAGTGCCCCAATCGTTGGTGTCAGTGGGAGGAATAGTGCCCCATCATTGGGTGTCAGTGGGAGGAATAGTGCCCCATCGTCAGTGGAGGTGTCAGTGGGAGGAATAGTGCCCAATCAGTTGGTGTCAGTGGGAGGAATATAGTGCCCATCATTGGCGTCAGTGGGAGGAATAGTGCCCCATCGTGGGTGTCAGTGGGGAATATAGTGCCCCACCGTGGGTGTCAGTGGGAGGAAATAGTGCCCCACCGTGGGGTGTCAGTGGGAGGAATAGTGCCCCATCGTGGGTGTCAGTGGGAGGAATAGTGCCCCATCGTGGGTGTCAGTGGGAGGAATAGTGCCCCATTGTGGGTGTCATTGGGAGGAATAGTGCCTCATCATTGGTGTCAGTGGGAGGAATAGTGCCCCATCATTGGTGTCAGTGGGAGGAATAGTGCCCCATCATTGGTATCAGTGGGAGGAATAGTGCCCCATCATTGGTGTCAGTGGGAGGAATAGTGCCCCATCATTGGTGTCAGTGGGAGGAATAGTGCCCAATTGTGGGTGTCAGCTATGTCCTTCTCTGGCCTCTCTCTGGCCTGTTGAGTGATCCCGGAGGTGTGGCCAGGTTTCGGGGGCAGCATATCATCCCGCCCACAGATCGCCTGAGACAGGAGCGGTGTCTCGGTTCCTAAGACCATCGGAAATATGTGTTTTCTGATGGTCTTAGGCGACCCCTGTGAAATGGTCGTTCGACCCCCAAAGGGGTCGCGACCCCCAGGTTGAGAACCGCTGCCCTAAGCTATCACAGTGCAAACGAACCAAACCAAACCACCCACAGATAACAATACATACAATGCAAGCGTAGTCAGGCAGGCCGGGTCAATAACAATCGGGCACGTAGGAACAGGAGGAGCAGGCAGAGAGTAGTCAGGTCACGAGCCGGGTACAGCAACTAACGGGCAGGTAGGTACAGGGGGTCAGGCAGAGAATGGTCGGGGTCACAAGCCAGGGATCAAACAGGAGAAGTCAGCAGAGGTCAGGATCAGGCTGGGTCGGCAACAAGTCAGTCAGGCAGGAACAGGAACAGGAATGCAGGTAACAAGATACAGGGGCCCATAGAAAAACACACACCAAGGCCCAGACTGCAGGTCTGGCCATCCCTTAAATACACCTCCGGAATCAGCTTCAGGTGTTTGGCTGACTGCAGGGTTGAGTCTCTGATTGCTGAGAGCACCCGCTGGCCAGCCCTGGTACTGCAGCCCACAAGGCAGGTGAGTCCCACCATTATTGGCAAGTCCATTCCTGACAGTACCCCCCCCTCAAGGAGCGGCCTCAGGACGCTCCAAACAGTCCTAGCTGGGCAAAATGTTCCACCACCCGTGTCTGGTAACTGGCGGGATATCAAAGACTGGCACATCGGGCTGGACTCCGAGCAGAGGCACATCGGGCTGGACTCCGGGCAGAGGCACATCGGGCTGGACTCCGGCAGAGGCACATCGGGCTGGACTCCGGGCACATCGGGCTGGACTCCGGGCAGAGGCACATCGGGCTGGACTCCGGGCAGAGGCACATCCGGCTGGACTCCGGGCAGAGGCACATCTGGCGGGGAGGCACATCGGGCTGGACTCCGGGCCACCAGGCGGAGCAGCAGGCGCCGGATCACCAGGCGGAGCAGCAGGCACAGCAGCAGGCACCGGATCACCAGGCGGAGCAACAGGCACCGGGCCCCCAGGAGGGGCGGCGGGCACCGGGCCCCCAGGCGGAGCGACGGGCACCGGGCCCCCAGGCGGAGCGACTGGCATCGGGCCCCCAGGCGGAGCGGCGGGCACCGGGTCATCAGGCACGACAGCAGGCATCGGGGTCACCAGGCATCAGGTCATTTGGCTCGCCAGCGGGCACCGCGTCATCTGGCAAGGCAGTGGGCACCGAGTCACCAGGCACGACCGCGGGCACTGGGTCATCAGGTACCGGATCGTCTGGCTCGACAGCAGGCACCGGGTCATCTGGCGCTGGATCGTCTGGCTCGACAGACAGGGCATCGGGTCACCAGGCATGACAGCGGACACTGGGTTATCAGGCATTGGATTGTCTGGCTCGACAGCGGGCATCGGGTCACCAGGCATGACAGCGGGCACCGGGTCATCAGGTACCGGATCGTCTGGATCGACAGCGGCACTGGGTCATCTGGCGTTGGATCGTCGGGGGCTGGCTCGGGTCACCAGGCATGACAGCGGGCACTGGGTCATCAGGCATTGGGGTCACCAGGCATGACAGCGGGCACTGGGTCATCTGGCATTGGATCGTCTGGCTCGACAGCGGGCATCGGGTCACCAGGCATGACAGCGGGCACTGGGTCATCAGGCATTGGATCGTCTGGCTCGACAGCGGGCATCGGGTCACCAGGTATGACAGCGGGCACCGGGTCATCAGGTACCGGATCGTCTGGCTCGACAGCGGGCATCGGGTCACCAGGCATGACAGCGGGCACTGGGTCATCAGGCATTGGATCGTCTGGCTCGACAGCGGGCATCAGGTCACCAGGTATGACAGCGGGCACTGGGTCATCAGGCGTGATAGGATCATCAGGCTGGATCAGTTCATCAGACTGGGTACAGACATCAGGCTGGGTAGAGACATCAGGCTGAAGTGCGGGTGCCGAGGCACCAGGCTGAACCACGGAAGGCAGGTTCTCAGACAGCAGGCTCACCGGTTTGGATACTGGCAGGATGGTACTGGTTGGAAAGAATTTTCGCTTTTTTCTGGTTTTAACTACTGGAGCACTGCAAGTAAACGCAGGTCTGCAAACGAATGGAGCAGCTGAGGACAGAGAAGAGCTGGAAGATGGAACAGAGGAGGGAGCAGCCGCCACAGAGGACCTCTCCACAGAGCCAAAGAAAGGATAGGTGCAGCGAGTGGGAGCAGGGGACTGGTATGTGGTAGTTAGAGTATACTGGGCAGTCACTGGGGGTGCTGTCGGGGATGCAGGAAGAGTGCCTTGAGCAGAGGAATGATATTGCAAGCCGACTGAGGCTGGGTGTAAACAAATCTGTCCATGTCTGCAGTACTGGTTGAACAAAACTCAGCTTACACATAGCCTGTCTGACCAAAGACTGCACTGCGTTTATGCAATCCATGAGCACATGTGATGGACAAGCTGCATAGTGCTCATGGAAACAATCTGGATCATCCTCCAACAACCATACCAGTGATTCCACTTGATCCACACTAAATGGGGGAAAAAAGTCATTCCTGCTTTCAGGGGTACAGGACCGAGCAACTCAGCACAAACCTGGATCAATGGCTGCACCTCAGAAAACTCTGTGCCCTGATCAACTAGACAATGAGCGATCCTTATACACTCTAACAGTTGATCCCGGGTATACTCCTTCAGAGTCTGATAAGCATAGTCTTTGTCATCAAACACTAGCAGAGATAAATACACCACCTCATCAAGATCCATCCTTCCCAGCAACAATAAGCCAAGATGGCTTCCCTGTGCAGCCACTTCTGGTCAGGATTGGCCTTGGTGTAATGTCAGGGCTCCGGGTATAACCAGAAGTATGTGAACTGACGCAGGGAAACGCAGGCTTCAGATATGTTATAAACAATATAATTTATTAATACTAACAATAGAAAACGCAGTGCAATACTAAAACATAAACACAGTGCAAACGAACCAAACCAAACCACCCACAGATAACAATACATACAATGCAAGCGTAGTCAGGCAGGCCGGGTCAATAACAATCGGGCACGTAGGAACAGGAGGAGCAGGCAGAGAGTAGTCAGGTCACGAGCCAGGTACAGCAACTAACGGGCAGGTAGGTACAGGGGGTCAGGCAGAGAATGGTCGGGGTCACAAGCCAGGGATCAAACAGGAGAAGTCAGCAGAGGTCAGGATCAGGCTGGGTCGGCAACAAGTCAGTCAGGCAGGAACAGGAATGCAGGTAACAAGATACAGGGGCCCATGGAAAAACACACTCCAAGGCCCAGACTGCAGGTCTGGCCATCCCTTAAATACACCTCCGGGATCAGCTTCAGGTGTTTGGCTGACTGCAGGGTTGAGTCTCTGATTGCTGAGAGCACCCGCTGGCCAGCCCTGGTACTGCAGCCCACAAGGCAGGTGAGTCCCACCATTATTGGCAAGTCCATTCCTGAGAGAGGGTGTGTTGCACTTGTCTGCTGAGCTCCAGAAAGGCCTGAGAAGCCTGGGGCTAAAGTGCCCTGCCCAGCCCAGGTAGGATGGCGGATCCTGGGCCTGGGTCCAGCGAGGAGAAGGCCCTGGAGGGGCTTAGTACCCGGCCTCTCTTTTCCACAGTGGAGGACCTGGGAACGGCCCCTAGGAAGGGGGAAGCTTATTCTACCTACCGAGACTGTGTGGCCGCTTGGGCCAGGTCAGTAGAGAAGGAGGAAGCCAAGCTCCAGAAGCTGACTCTGGAGCTAAAGAAGCTCCGGTCATCCTATGACCGTGTATGGTCTACAAAGCGGCAGGCCATGAAACCAGGCCTGGAGGCGCTGGAACTACGTGTGTCACAGCAGGGGAGGTATGTGGCGGCGCTGCAGCGTCCTAAGTGAGAAGTATCTGAATGAAGCGAGATTTAAGGCTGCCAGAAGCCGCAGTGTTGCGGTGATGCGGGGTCCGGTGGAGGAGGCCTCCTCGGTGGAGGAATTGTCGGGGCAGTCGCTGGTGGAAGGTGAGCAGGGGCAGGCTGAGCCCGCAGCACCCTCAGAGGAAATGGCGCCTAAAATGGAAGACAGCATGGTTGCAGGATCATCAGAGTCCCTCCCCCTGGGCAGCTGCCTGTGGATTGGGGGACCCAGGTGGAGGAGGCGGAGATGGCGGGCGGATTGCAGTTCCTGGCAGAGGCGGTTGCAGAGCTGCGTGGAGCCGACTTCAGGTTTACGTCCGAGGAC